CTGGTCGCTCTACGTCACCAACCCCTGTGTTGTACCTCTGGAATATCGTGCATGTTGTCATATATAAGACGCGCGTGCTTGCGCACACACACACACACACACACACACACATACACTCACACATACATACACACACACATATACACACATACACACACATGCACACATACACAAACACCCCACACTCTTTCTAAGGAAACCGGGAAAGCTTAACACTCACAGTGAAAACAAATCCGTGTAAGGAAGAAGGACACAGTTTTGTGTCCCACCGATTCATGCACATTTTCAATATAATATTCTTGTCTGTTTTTGTTGCGTAATATAAGAGCGCGAAGTACTCGTGATATTAGCGCTATGCGCTGCTGCTTTAGTTTAATTTTGTTTTGTTTTGATTTTTTTATATATATTTTTTTTATATATTTGTTAAAACATTTATTTCATTCAAGGTAGAAGTCCTGGTTAGTTATAAACTGCATTCTATTTTTGTCCTTATTCGGTAGCGTGGATTTAGCTCAGAGCGATCCGTATATGGTAAAGGCCACTCGTTCTCAGAGGTATGGTATATATAACATAGGGGTAGAAACGTGGAAGCACCAGTGGTACGAGGAAGAGGAGATCGGTGCGTGGTAGTTAGTGGTTGTGTTGTTCACATTTCTAGCAATACTGTGTACTGTGCATTCAGATGAGACTGTGACAGGTAGGCCCGGTGGCGTCAACAATATACGCATATATTGTGAAAAAGGCAGTTAAGTATAATGCATTAATGTATTGAAAGGAGGCGGAGGGGGGGGGGGGGTACTTAAAATTTGTTTTAAAAGCAAAGCGGTCTTGTCCGTACGGTGTCTGTGTTGTAGCGGTCAGGAACTTGGCTGTCGTACTTAGGAGATCCGAGTTCGACCCCTGAGTGGGCGGAAATTTTTTATCGAGTATCTGGGTCTTTCTGCTGGGATGTTGAATCCCTCTCAGCACTGGTTGGCCCTGACAGGCAGGGTATGATCTATGCCTGCTGTCACCTAAATGATCTAAATTGTGCCGATATGAGCATACGAACACCTACGCTATAAGTCAGTAATAGTAGTAGTAGTAGTAGTTGTAGTAGTAGTAGTAGTAGTAGTAGTAGTAGTAGTAGTAGTAGTAGTAGTAGTACGTCCACAAGATATGATGAAGTCAATTTTTGTAGCCCTATCTAAAACACAAGGTGTCACTGATTGTGATATGCATAGAAGAATAATCCTATAGAGTCATTTTACAAAACCTTTGTTGCGAATACTCATGAGAAGAATGAGAAACAGTCTAAGACAAGAGATATTATATCTAATCTAATTCAAATCTATATTCAAACGTTATACACAATTCGGTTTTGTTCCTGACAAGGGCATCAGAAATGCTATATTTACTTGAACAATGTTAATGGAAAGATGTACTGAAGAAAAGATGTACTGAAGAAAAGATGTACTGAAGAACAGAAAGATATGTCTGTCCGCCCCGGTCAAAATCAAAGGTAAGACGCAGTGTGCATATTATCAGCTACGAGGCTCAGAAGGGAAAAAAGTGACTTTCTATGAATTTTTTTTTTTTTTTTTTTTTTGGGGGGGCGGGGGGTTAACTGTTGAAAGTTTGATATATTCTACTTCATTTAAGATCAAAGTAAACAACTATAATCGACTAGATCTATAAATATTTATTTGGATTTATTTTGGAGGTGAGTGTGCTTTGTGCTTGGGTGATGAGATAAAGGAATTTGGACCTTGCTGGTGTGTAGCTGTGAGATTATTTATAAAACCATTACCTCATGGCCACCTTTGCTTCAACATTCTTAGTATGCAACTATTTTAAGATTTTGACTCCTTTTCGAGAATGAATGGTCTGAAATGTAACCAACTTGTTGTCACTATGGACGACAGAGGGCTCTGACTGGTGCACGGGGTAAGAACGGCAAATTCTAGTTAACTTCAAGCTTGTTTACGTAAACAGCTGACTGTGTGGGTGTGCGCCGCTAGCTATTGTTATTATTATTATTATTATTATTATTATTATTATTATTATTATTATTATTATTATTATTATTATTATTATTTCGTATGCGTTTTTTTGTAGTTTTTTTTTTGTTTTTGGTGCCAAATGAATGTTTGTCTTTCCATTTTCAGAGCCAAATATAGCCAGTCCCATCAATAAATGATCACCATGGAGGTGTCAGCTCTGACCTGGACCTTAATGTGCCTGGTCCTCCTGCTGCTGCTGGTCTACGTCTTCTACATGTCCAGCACACACATGATCTTCCGGAAACTGGGAATACCGGGACCCACACCCTGGCCCGTGTTTGGGAACTTCGTGGCTGAGGCAAGGGCTGGCATCATGAATTACCAAACCGATTTGTACTTTAAGTACAAACATGAAAAGGTGAGGGTTATAGATTGAATGTGGCTTATTGGCGCGAGCTCTGGTGTGGTTCGATCCTTCTTTCTCATCAAACATTTTTGAGGCAGCGTGGTGGAATCAGGCTCTCGTCAAAATAATGAAAGTGAAGAAACTTGCATTTTTCTTCAGGTTTGTGAATTTTTATTAAATATTTGCCTTTTAGCTCAACACCTTTCATACCCATTAAAGAACTCATTTCTGTATTAATTTTTCTGAAAAACGTTGATTAAAGGCACAACAAATGTAAATTTTCAGTTACCACGGACTCTAAAGCTAAGTAAATAACTAATCTTTGGCGGCCATTTTCTCACTAATTTTAGTACTGAAAACAGGTGACCCACCTCCTTCATTCGCAAATATCTCGACTTGTAATCAAGATAAATGGATATTTTTTTCATTTAGATAAAGACATATGAACAAGCTTTAAGATGATACCAATAACTTTACATGCCCAAAAATTGACGATAGCCTGATTCCACCACGCTGTCTCACATATGGGTTATTGGCACGTGCTCTGGTGTGGTTTGATCCTTCTTTCCCATCAAACATAATTTATCTTCCTTATCTCTCCTCTTTCTTTTTGTGTTCATTATTCTCTTGTAATACCTCCAATCGCCGTCCGTTATATGACCTAAGTATGTTAAAAGCGTCGTAAAACGCTTACTAAAACAATATATTCAAGGAAACCTCTCGGTGTGTGTGTGTGTGTGTGTGTGTGTGTGTGTGTGTGTGTGTGTGTGTGTGAGTATGTGGGTGTGTGTATGTGTGTGCTGTATGTCATCAATATTGTCAACCAGCTTTTCAAATATTGTAAACCCAAAATTTCGAATTGTTTTCTTTTCTTTTTCATGGATCCCTGAAAAAAAACCACTCTAAAATGTTTCAGAGGCTGAACCCATGATTCTCAAAAGAGAAGTCAATTGTCGGTACAATCAGAACTGGCCTCTGTGGTGTAGTGGTTAGACGCTTTGTTGTCGCACACAGCAGAAAAGGGAGTTTGATTCACATTTTGTATGTATTATTTATTTATTTTTATTTTTTATTTATTTTTTATTTTATTTTATTTTATTTTATTTTATTTTTTTAAATTTATCTTTTATTTTATTTTATTTTATTTTATTTTTTATTATTTTTTTTTTGGGGGGGGGAGGGGGTATCGTCTGTCTGCTTGGACGTTGTATATCTCTGTCCCCGTGGTTTTATGCACCCCTCATGCTTTAGCAAAATTTGATCTTTTTTCTGATTCTTTTCCATTATCATTCTTTGTTAAAATGAACAGAATCGCTTAATTTCCCTTTTTTGGGCTGTTTGCATCATTTCAGTATTTTTCTTACATAAAACGACGGGGACAGATATCTTTGTCTGTCTGGTGGGACGTTGTACATTTCGGAGCCTGAGTTGGCCCCGTCTGGCATGGAGGAAGCAGCCTATCTCGTAAATGACATGTGAAGTAGATGGTAACTATCCTCAGGTGTATGGCTTCTACCGAGGGAAGTTGGCCATCCTGACAATACGTGACCTGGACATGATCAGAGATATCTGCGTGAAGAACTTCAACGATTTCGTCAACCGAACGACCTTCAGTAATGATGAACCTTTCAAGAACGCACTCACAGAAGCAAAGGGTAGGGGTGAAATATTGCTGGAGTGTCACTGTGTAGTTGGAAAGCATAACTGAAGAATAATGTACAGTCAAACCTTCTCTAACGGCCACATGCTGTCCAAGACAATGACCTGTACAACCGGCCATTCCCACTTTTCCCCTCCAGTTTATCTATAGATGTACATATATTATAACGATAATGTTCAAGCTATTGCAAGTGGTGATCATTTTGGGGAACTGAGTATGTAAGATATGATGAAGTCAATTTTTGTAGCCCTATCTAAAACACAAGGTGTCACTGATTGTGATATGCATAGAAGAATAATCCTATAGAGTCATTTTACAAAACCTTTGTTGCGAATACTCATGAGAAGAATGAGAAACAGTCTAAGACAAGAGATATTATATCTAATCTAATTCAAATCTATATTCAAACGTTATACACAATTCGGTTTTGTTCCTGACAAGGGCATCAGAAATGCTATATTTACTTGAACAATGTTAATGGAAAGATGTACTGAAGAAAAGATGTACTGAAGAAAAGATGTACTGAAGAACAGAAAGATATGTCTGTCCGCCCCGGTCAAAATCAAAGGTAAGACGCAGTGTGCATATTATCAGCTACGAGGCTCAGAAGGGAAAAAAGTGACTTTCTATGAATTTTTTTTTTTTTTTTTTTTTTGGGGGGGCGGGGGGTTAACTGTTGAAAGTTTGATATATTCTACTTCATTTAAGATCAAAGTAAACAACTATAATCGACTAGATCTATAAATATTTATTTGGATTTATTTTGGAGGTGAGTGTGCTTTGTGCTTGGGTGATGAGATAAAGGAATTTGGACCTTGCTGGTGTGTAGCTGTGAGATTATTTATAAAACCATTACCTCATGGCCACCTTTGCTTCAACATTCTTAGTATGCAACTATTTTAAGATTTTGACTCCTTTTCGAGAATGAATGGTCTGAAATGTAACCAACTTGTTGTCACTATGGACGACAGAGGGCTCTGACTGGTGCACGGGGTAAGAACGGCAAATTCTAGTTAACTTCAAGCTTGTTTACGTAAACAGCTGACTGTGTGGGTGTGCGCCGCTAGCTATTGTTATTA